GATTACACTTAAAATTCAGAAAAAAAAATAAATGCATAATATAATTGATAAAAAATTGCAGAAAAAAAAAATAAAAAAAACGGTAGAATGGTTTAAAAGTCCCCCTCACACCACTAACGGGGCTTTAATTTATTGAATACGATTTTCTAACACTACACAAAAACGATTTACATAAAGTAATTTGTTTTAAAAAAAAATTGTACTTGTTATTAAAAAAAAAAATACCCTGTATTAATCATTTTTGTAGTGTTAGAAAATTGCACGTGTTTAATATAAAGTTGGAGCGGTTAGGTGGAAGCTATTAAACCTATCTGCTATTTTTTTTTTCCACTTTTTGTTTTTGTGGAGCTATTTTTTGGGGATTGAATCCGGGCTCTAAATTAATAACAGACTGTTAGGCATTGTTTTCGATTTTAGAAATGGTCGAACCGTGAAAACCGACGATTTTACCGTCGCGTCCCGAACGAATATACAAATCCCCTCGCGTATACATAATAACATCATAATGTTATTATGCATAGGCACGTCCCGTCTGTATATACGACGGTATTTTTTGTTGAAAAAAAAAAAAAACGCATCACGATAAATTGTTTTAAGGATTTCCCGCGGGTACCTACAGTCGCATGACGACCGTACTATCGTCGTAATATTATTATAATGTATAAAAAGAAAGTCGGCGTGTTTCGAAACGACCTTGGGCGCGAACAACGCGATCAAACGGATACGTTTCGTATTATTATTAGGTGGGGTACTACAATATTATTGTTATCATTGTACACTATAATATACACGAGATTTTATAACGCGTTTTTTTTTTTTCCTATATTATTATTATAAACGTTGGACGGTGAATAATATCGTTCGAAACGGACACGACTCCCGTTTTCGATCAATTTACGCCGCGCCTGTCCCCTTTTCGGCAGATTCACTTTTCGACGGGAAAAATAAAGAAAAAAAAAAAACCCCCAAACATATTCCAATTACGTTATGCGCCTCGCATTGTACTCGTGTTATGGCGTATTATATTGTAACTGTAAGTCACCGCAAGTCCGGGCTAGTCAATGGACAGCATAATAATAACGGTAACCCGGTCGAGTTGAAAGTTCATTTAAAATTCGTACTCAACCATACGTATACTCGAGTTGAGTTAATTTTGCTCGGTTGCACTCGGTGACGCGTTGCCCGCGGACCCCGGCTAGGATATCGGTCAGAAAAAAAAAAAATCACGAACATTAGGTTTAACGTAATATTATAACAATAATAACAATCTATGACGATAACGGTTTTGTATAAAAAAAAAAACATAACGCGAGTTGATAAATTGTTTAAATTCAAAACTCAACACTCGGTTGTGACGGAACGATCGGCGTACAAATTGACACGACGCGTTATTATAACACGTTAAACTTAACTTGCGATTAACTCGACTCGGCCGGGGGTTAATATTATTATAACTATACTTTTTATTGACTTTTATCGTTAAGCCTTGCGATCCGTTTTCCCTTCTGCCGTTCGGGTCGACGATTTCGACCGCACGCCATCGGCGACTGGTGGAGGGGGACGGGGCAACAACAATACAGCGGTAATGCATCGTTATTCGTTTAGATAGGAAAAATAAAAAAACAGGACGTGCTCTCGTATGCGTCGTCGTAAATTTATTATCGTTATAACGGTGAACGGGTCCGCGCGGGAATACGTGACCGTCCGCGCGCAAAAAAAAAAAGGAAAAAAAAAAAATGTCGCCTGGACGTCGTATAGATACTTGCACACCACGCGATCGGTGTAAATCGCACGGACAAGTATTATTATTTTTTCTTATCTTTTTTTTTTAGCCGTCGCAGTCGTCGCGCGCTCGTTTTTTCTTTCTTTCGCTCGCCTCCCTCCGAGTAATCGATCTTCTCGATTTTCTCGCGTGACCATCACGATAGTAATATTATTGTTATTTGTATTGTACGCCCGCGTTGCGTACCCAACTGAAACTCACGGGCGTAGCATTTTACGGCGTTCGGGATTCAGCTGTGAGGGCCACGACCGTTCCGAGATATTGCAATGGTGGACGAACGCACAAGGCGGGGTCTGTCCTCTGTGTAGCGCTGAGCATTTAATCCGGATCGATCCGGAATTCGGAACATTTAAAAATATTGCTGTAGCAAGTTGTAATCAATCGGCTCGCGTACGATTTCAAAGGGCTTATAAACCCGTAAAACACAGTGGACAAAATTGAAGCGGCCGGTCCGGACTAAACGGATTAGTCATCAGTTTAGATTTATTCAAAAATTTACTTAAATGAAAAAAAAAAAATTGCCACGCAACCGACAACGCTGAATTATTCATCATTCGTAATACACCGATAAAAAAAAAAAAAAAAAAAACCATCCACTCGCGCATTCGCCATTGGTCCGAAAACCGGATTTATATTCTGAATATGTGCGTTTAACATACGGATCGAACGGACTCACCCCCGGATCCTTTAAGCACGGTATAACATTTCGATCGCACGTATTCGACTGCTCGCCGCTGTTGTAGTTCTGGAGTCTCGGAACAGCGTATTCAGAGGTGAGGGTGGCCGCGATAACAACGACAACGACCGCCGGCCCGGAGTCCCGTCCGGGGTCTCGTTTCGCGACCCGGCGACCCGCGTACGACGCGGGCCTACTGCGGCCCGGAAGCTCGCGTCCGAATCAGCCCGGTCGGCCCTAGCCCCCGGGGCTACTCCCCGATCCTTTCGTACCGCTCCTTCAAGTCGTCTACGCAGGTAACTCGACCGTGCAGCAGAAGAAGGAACGAGCGGTCGCACACGCGGTCGCTGCAATATAGTTGTTATTATTATTATTATTATTATTATACTCGGGCACGGCGGTGGCGGCGGAGAGGACGCGATGCGACCGGTCGTGCTGCGACGAGGTAAACGTCCGGTAACCGCCATCAAGGTCATACGCTCGGTCGCTCGGCGCGCTCGTACGCACACCCGGCGAACGTACACGCACGACCTTACAAGGTCGTCTGCGTCTAGCCGGACACACGCCGCCTCGAGTACTTCCCCACCGCCGCCATCTCTACCGACCCCGTGCCCGTCGAGTGTGTGCACACGTGGTTTACTCGCCCCCTCCCCCCCCCCGTCGCACTGTGGTCCGTAATGAATATTGGGCCTGCGTGAAATCGCAATTAAAAAGTTTGTCAAAATGTTATTTTCGTAGCATATTATCATTAAACACTACCTATCCATACACATTGGTCGGTTGATTGGATAAAATAACTGTCATGTATTGTACGTATTATTTAATCTTAGATGAGGTTTATAATTTCTAGAATAATACTTTTACTATTTCATTCGTGTACGTTTTATTTCACTTTGCTTCAAACTGCGCTTGCACGCACAGATCAAATTAAAAATTTCATTTTAATGAACTTTTAAATATAATGGAATGTGCAGATGAAGGTAAGTTATACAATAAAATATTTTTGTATATTTTTTTAAAAATGAACAATTTATAAAATTGAATTTTAAACTAAAAAATATCCACTTTATTTATAAAAATTAATATCATTAACGAGGGACTCAAAGTGCCACTTAATTATTATATTTTTTATAAAATACAGATGTTGTAGACTTAATTAAAAAAACATACCCTAATACCTAAATAAAGGGATTGATTTCAAATCTGACAAGAAATTTGGATTCTGTGTATCTTCAAATATTAAAATTGATTTCTTGCATGCCTTTTTAAAGTCAAATTTAACAGGTATTAATTTTATATATGCAAAATATTTATTTTCATACCACTGTGTTTGTTTTGTGTTTGAATAATACATTTCAATATTTTAATTTTAAAAAGAAAACAGAAAGAATATAATTATTTAAATATAATACTACTCTCACTACTCTACTATTCGCATTATCTGTATTATATACATTAATAAAATGAATAACTAATAATATAATTTAATAAATAAATCCTCTTATATTTGTTACATTTATCACATCTTGCTATAATTTTAAAATCCAACCTCATTTGGACAATATAATTTTATTGTTTTTAGGCATATGGAAATGATATTGANAGAAAGAATATAATTATTTAAATATAATACTACTCTCACTACCCTACTATTCGCATTATCTGTATTATATACATTAATAAAATGAATAACTAATAATATAATTTAATAAATAAATCCTCTTATATTTATCACATCTTGCTATAATTTTAAAATCCAACCTCATTTGGACAATATACTTTTATTGTTTTTAGGCATATGGAAATGATATTGAACTTTTGTTACCTAATTTTAAATGTATATGTATTCACATTTGTTATTATAATTGTATTATATGTTTAATAAACACATTGAATTTGAAAAATGAAAATCAAGACAAAATATAAAACATAATTATTATGAAGTTAGAAATATGTATCAATAACTATAATTTATTATAGTAATTATCAGTTATTTAACATTTAACAATCTAAATACAACTTTTGTTTTATAATAATGAATAAAGATTATCAATAATTTTTTTGTTTAACATTAAAAGTGATTTAAATATTTATGTCAAGATGCAAAAGTGTTCAAAATATAGTTAATAATTATTTATTCAATATTTTATAACCTACAATATTGGTTATAATACAATATTTAATAAACAATTAATAAACACAGTAGAATTCATCATTATTTGAACTAAAGCACTTGATATAAATCATCAGTAGCACTATAGCACTAAAATAGTCCGTGGCCCCAGTTCAGCAGTTCAGTAATTCAGTAACTCTCCAATTATGTGCTCTATGTGATACTGAGATTAGTTTTTTTAGAGTTACATATTTAAAAATGATTAAACTAAAAAAATAAAGAACTTAAGATAATAAAATGATTAAAATATGGTTAATACTCGTAAATAAATATATAAATAAAAAATGTATTAATTTATTTATTTTTTATATCTCTATGTACATTTTTTTTTATATATTTATTTACTATATTAACTTCAAAAAACTAATTTAAAGACGTCTTGAATTCATCTTCTTTTTCTTTTTCTGTTTGAGTTCCTGAATTCTTTCATACTCACTAAAAATACAAGATATAGAACCATAAAATAATACAAATTGTTGTTAACAAAATGAATAATGTTAGTTCAGTAGTACAATTATAGAGTCTATAACCATCAATTTGAATTTATATTCTTCACCTTATTCTGGTTTTGAGATCTTCTGGTATAAGAGAGGTGCCTTCTTCCCAAGGTTCTAAACTATCAAAATCTAACTCTTCTTCTTTAATTTCATGTTCAGCATCATTTTGAGAATACCCATATTTATCAATTAATAGATTTGCTATTTGCTCTGAAATTGTTTTGCTATCAGCAACATCATGGTCTGTGGTATCGGTGGTGTCATTATTCTGAATATTTTCATTATTTATTGTTAAAATTAGTGAAGCATCATGCAAATCTTCACTAGGGTTTAAATTACTGTTTTGTGGTGCCTATGAACAAAAACAATTCTGTACTTAATGTGATATGGTAATTAAAATAAAACTTACAAGATCATCAGAAGAACTATTTATACCAAGTTCTTTAGAGTAGTCTAATTCATACATACTGCAAAAATGTAACATTCTTTCTTTTCTGAAAAATGTAATTTTTTTTTATAACTCAACATGTGTGATAACAAAATTCAGGACTAAACATAGACCTTATACTACTAGACTGGCTTTACCTATGGTGTAGCTATAATAATGAGTCAAGTGACCGGCATAGAAAAGTGATAAGATGGTGATTGGTCAAATCATAGACATTTTTATATTTATTAATATATCTATAGGTCAAACATACACCAGTAATGTAGTTTACAATCTCATCAGTGTTGCTATAGGACTTCCATTATTGTACAATATTCAATAATATTGTATCTACCATTAATTCTCATTGATGTTCCTAACATTTGTCAGAAAATACATTATTGAAGCTTAACTTAATATTCATTATTTATTTATTTAATAACATAACGGGTGTTAACCCAAGTACAATACTTAATAAATAGAAAACCATTAAAAAGAAGATTATAGTAATAACAAAACACAAATTATAATAGAACATAAACTAAGTAATGAGAATACGAGCAAAAGTAACAAAGAAATATAAAGGGGACATACAATGAAAAACTATAAAAATCAAAGTTAACATATAGGTTCACTGCATGAGACATCCCGTGTAAGAGGCGGTTGTTCTCGAAATAAGTATGATGGATAGGAGTGTTGAATGGAGTTTGAGAGCACGAGAAATGCATAGATACATGGAAATTTACCTTAGTTAAGAATGCTAGGCTGTCAACTGCACCATGGAGTAGTTTTGAATAATAAGAAAGATTTGCTTCCAAACGCATGTCAGCTAAGGTACTCAGGCCTAAGTAATTTCGTACAATAGATTAATAATGAGGGAGGTGATCAATTTTAAATATATAGTATTGAACCAGAATCGTTAAGCCATGAAGTCTAGTAGTATAAGGTCTATAAAAACAATAGAATCTATAGAATATTATTACCTCACGAGGGTCATCAAATGGTCGGCTTCTTGAACACCCGCTTGCCATCGAACCATTTCTTTTTTCTTTTTCTTTAAAAAAACCTACAAATATTTATTATGAATATTTAACCATTATGTAAAGTTAAAATATTTTGAAATACAATGAAGAGTAGGTTTTATTAAACTATGCAAATTTTATTTAAAAAGTCAATATAACAATACCTTATCAAAAATACACTCCACTCTAATCATGAAAAATGCTAAAACTAAAAATAGATTTTTTCTTTAAAAACTTTAACTTACATAGGTACATTACAGATTGATTTACCAAATGACAAAAAGTAAATATTTAAAAATTAATTAAATTGTAAAGTAAGTTACAATTTCTAACAAGACTTACCATACAATCCGGGTGTTTTGAAACAAAGTCTTCTTTAGAATTATATTGTTCTATAATCTTCGCCCAATTTCTTTGGCCATAATAGCCACAAAATCGCACGTGTAGAGCAAAAGTTTTTTTTTCCCCTAAAAATAAATTTAAAAAAAATGTAAGTAAGTACATAGATATTGATACCATGATATTCAATGGATTCTCTTCAACACCTTCAAAAATCTAATTAAATTATAATTTCAGCTGGGAATAATTAATTAGTATTAAGCTGCATTGTGGCGTATATCTTCATATCAATGTCACAAAAATGGGTAAAATGTTCTCATTAATATAAAAAATCCCTATCAATATCATGTAAGATTTAAAAGTTATTCAAGATCAAAGTTCAGAAGTTTCAATTCAGAGTGAATACTACCATCTAACTTAGAAAGAAGAACATTATCTGAGTTTGTACATTGGTTTTTTTTTTTTATTAGTTTAAATTTTTGGTTCAGATATACATGTGTGAAATATTATAATTTAAAAGAATTTAAAAAATTTTAATGATAATATTGAAAAAAAATAACAACACAAAGTATGTTTTGAATCATCTGAAATCATGTAGGTTTGTAAGACAAACAACAAAATTTGTTAATGCATGTATGTTCTCTTAAACATATTAGTTTTCAATTTTATTTTTCAAACTTCAGATAGTAAAACTATACAAATATATGAACTTACTATGTAAAATGTAAAACAAATTATAAATTCTATTAAATATTAAGTATATCTGCAACAACTATATGATGTATTCACTATTACTCGAACCTTTGGTATACAATCTGGATACAGGATCATAAGTGACAATGGCTGGCCAAAATGGACAGCCCATGAGTTTAGCCCAAACAATATCACCAACTTCATATTCTGATTTTGATTCCATGGTATCAGCATTATTAACGGCCTGTACGTGCTGTACGTCCATATTGCGTATTAAATCTGTAAGTTATCGAAAACAAAACGGTTAGATACCAAAAATGACAACAGAGGGCAATGCGTTTGACTATATTAATAAAAGAACACCAAGAAGTCACCAACTTAAACTTAAATTCTTATGGTTAGACAATCATATGTTAGTGCTAAATATATTTAAATCTAAGAATATGACATTTATGATTAAAAATTCTCCTTTAAATTATAACTTTCAGCTAAAATTACATCTTTTTGATTATGATTTTGACACTCAGGATGTTATTAATTGTAAGTGTAATGTTTTGCAAAAAGTGGAAGAGTATAAATATCTGAGTGTTATTTTGGATAGTAAATTAAAGTGGGGAAGTCACATTAATACACACACTGGTTTCAAATTTACACACATTTTTATTTTTCTATAAAGATGTAAAATGAAGAGAATTATTTACATTTCTCTGATGTAATCTGTTTTTAATTATGGAATAATGTTTTTAGCTGTAAATACTCAATTTTTTTTGATTTTTATTTTTTCAATTTGCTTTTCTTTGAGAAATACAGATTAGAAAAAAATTAAATTTTTAATTTCCTCCATATATTTTTAAATAAAAATTACATTATTCACTTTATATGATTTTAAAAATTTTAATTTTATAAAAGATATTGTTCTAAAAACCTTAATCACGTTATTCACCTCTTTTCTTTAGAAAATTAAGCCAGCTGTTACTAATAACTAATAAGAAACTATTTGATCAGATACAAATGTACGGTACATTAAAAAAAAATAGACAATTTATTTCGAAAAATGGCTATTTTAAAAATTGTATAAAGTGAATATCTATTATAATATAGGATGTTATTTTATTTTTAAATTTGGGGATTCAAAGAAAAATTTAATTTTTGTCTAAATAAATGTCACCCAACGAAAAAAATTATATACGAACAGCTGTAGAAAAATTTATGGAACACTGAGAGACACACTGTATTTAGTATACACGTTTATCCAAAAGTTGTGTTCATATTTTGTACGTTGTACCCAAACATGTTACGGCTATTATAGACAATTATTGATATCAGCAGATTAAGCTATTCGTCGTGGACACGATTTTATCTATAACCAGAGAGGTCGACCATCTCCCCTCTCTCTGCGCGATCTTCGTAGTCGTTCCCCTCGCTCACACAACAATATTTGTAACGTTTACACTATGAATTGTGTTTTTTTTTTTTTCAGAGTAGTCGGTTTCGAATATTGTTTCATAACAGAAAAACAAAATCGACCCGAAGATGGTACTAAGGTAATTATTATGGATAATATGCGGCTATACAATTGGCACGCAGGATTTTGTTTGTAATAATTTCCTAGCAAGGGGATAGCACATAAGCACGTCATATCACAAAATACAGTAGATTCTATCACTATTATCACTGAATAAATGATTTTTGATCAAATTAAATTCTCTTCCGCAGAACAAGATAATATTATGCTGTTGAATGTAGAACTTGATTTAGAAAAATATAATGAAGGAAGACATTTCGGAAGGGAAGTCAGTTGACCCTCCCCTCCCCTCTGTGTGCGCCGTTGCGGTCATAATAAATGGTAAGTGCGAGCGTAGAAAAGGACAACGCGCAATAAAAACGACAGTAAATCGGCTGACGATCATCACGGTATTATTATAATATCGTTTCGTAAACGGTTAGTAGGGGAGGGAAAATATCCTGTAAAAATGGCGTACTCACCGTCGTTGTGCGGAAAGACAGGATCTTTAGAACAACCGATCCGTAATTTGAAGATGGCTTCAAGGTTCTTGGAGATCGCAGCCGGACGACGGTATTGTGTACTGGCGGAATATCTAGCGATTGACAATGACGATATGAATATTCGCGATATCCCGATCCTTATTGATTGTACCGTGCGTTGTATTGTTGCGCTTTGCGGAAATTGTACGTTGTACTGTTAACGATTCGACCAAGGGACAACAAAACGTGCGCGTTTTTGTTGTTCGGTTCGGTATCGACAGGTTGGTTCACCGCGTGCCTATTAAAAAACAGTGTGACCCGGTCCGCGGTTCCCGGGCGTACCAGTTGCCGGAGGTGTACAGATTATAATGGCGATTAGCGTTTATTAGAACCTGCAGTAGTTGTAGTTACACCCGACGATTTTCCCACAGGAAAAAAATAACTAAACACCCAAATAATTGTGCACCGATATTCATATTGTATGTATTTCGTAATCGTCAACGACCAATATGCAGTGGTGCCCAAACTATACTAACCTTATTGGTATAGTTTGAGTAACACCAATGTTGTACCAAACCATGAACATTAGAGTAAGGACGCCGATCTATACAGATAAAAGTGGGCCCAGATATGTAGCATCCACTAGAGCGCACTACAGGACGGTAGGCATACTCTTATAACGTTAAAGGCATAGGAATTCACAGCACTTGTGTGAAATGAGTATGACTACTGTTCGTAGTGCGCTCTGGCAGAAGCTACAAATTTGGAATCATTTGTATCGGTCCATTCGGCTGTGATCGGTTTTCTTTAATGTTCATGTACCAAACATACTACCGTACAGCTTGTCGGACTATTATTACACAAATATTAGTTACAAACTAATTATTAATATTTACATTTTATGACAATTGAATTTTTTATATTCATATTTTTTGGCAATACTATTACGTTTTTTAATATTTATATAATAACACGTTTTATAAGTTCTATTTTTGATTCATCGGGTAGCGATGAATTTATTGGTTTTAAAATGATTATGTGTATTTTATTGTCAATAAACATAATTTAAAAATATTCTAATAGCACGTTATCTATGAAAAACATTTCAGAAGTTTCAAATGATTTTAAAAAGTAAAAAAAAGTAAACTTTCAGCTTTTTTATCTGTAGTTTGTAGTATTGACTTGTTGCACACATGGTTTTAGTAGAGCACTATTGTCTATAATAGTATAATAGCCCTTTATAAAATCATAGACCTAACCATGATTATAAAAAATTAAAGAAGTTTCGACATTTTGTTTTTATAGTTAGTCACTCTGACTGTCTGAGTAAAAATTGGTTGTTATCATCTGTCGGAAAACGGCCCTCGGCCGTAGATAACTAGAACCGATTTTTAAAAATACTTTAATATTATAATGTATCATCCGGTGCCAGCCGATCTTCGAAACAAACGCGGGATAGACAAAATTGTAAAACCGGAATACGAAACTGGCACGGGCTGGATGGATAAATGGAATTATATAGGAATTGGTATACGCGTCGCAGTGGTCCTTTACAACCACATTATTTCCCCGTCACTTTCGGAAGTTTACAGCGGTTCCCGCTGCGTGTCCAAATGTGCTCAGACTTCGGAAATTAGAATCGCTTTATAGTCTAGATAGAAAAATTGACCGACGATCGTTGTCGAAACTTAACTGTACTTATATTGTCACATGCGTAGGCGTTCGAGGGGGCCAGATGAATTTTCGGTGGGCGAACGTAACCCATGCATATCGTGCGCCCTCCACCACACCCGTCTGTCCGTAAAAGTCGTCGATCCTCTATAGTGATCGAAGCCATAGAAATTACACTCATTCATGTAATACCTAGTAACGCCGTAAAATCGATACGAACTATGTAAGGACCTATAATTATCCTGCGATCCGCGTGTTGGAACCGGAAACGTGCAAAAAAAACGTAGGTATATACGATTTTCGTGGTTGTACCGCAATAGTGTGCAATCGACAGGGTGTGTATCATATTCTTATAGTATTATTCCGATGGAATCGTATGATGTGCATGACGTGTATAACCGCGAAGATATCTTATTAACATCATAATGCGCAAACAATTTTACAATGTAATAATATTTTATTGTAGGCACGTGCGTTAATTGATTATTCGCGAAGGTGATTTTTTTTTTAAGTGTGTATGTATTAAACAAAAAATATCAAAAAAAAAAAACCAAGTTATTTTTCGTGTTTTTTTTTAATTTTTACGTACTCAAACAAAACAATATTTTAGTTTAGTTTTAAACTGATGGTTATTTTAAAAAAATAACAAACTCTAGGTCAATAAATAATTTTCACTGTGACAAAATAATTGCAATTTCATAAAAACTGCAAAAGAAAATTAAATTAATTTTAGACTGTTCGAAGCGATCAAATAAAACTGCAAAGTAAAACAAACACACTTTCGTTTTACAAAATGATTTTATTACTCATACTTTTTTTCTATGGTCTATAAGAAACAAAATTACATATTATTATAATATATATTTATTATTTAGACTTATAAGTGTGAGCTTATTTTAAGAAAAAAAAAAATTGTTTAATTCAACGTGTACTTAATCTAAATAAAAAAAGGTATAGATTTTTCCTAAATAACCACATTCAAATAACACTTTCAATATCGGAAACATTGGCTTTACCCTACACACGCCACACACGAGAAATAGAGACTTTAGTTCGGATTTTTTTTTTTTTTGGTGCGAATAACTCGTTTTTTACAATTTCGGTGACTTAACACCCTTTTCACTGGTGCCCATGAATTGTATTATGATTGTAATTATTTGTTTTAAATAAAAAACCGTGTCTACCGTCGGGCCGCAAAACGCGGAGTTCTAAACGTGGGGGGTCCGTTTGTCCGTCCGTTTGGAGGGGAAAAAACCGACTGTCGTCCGCGAGGTTAAGGCCTCTGCAAGAATGTCGCGAGCGTGTGCGATTATTATTATTGTACAGTTTTTGTGCTCGCGAATGCAATTACCGATCGCAATCGAACGTGTATAATGTGTTTCCGAGAAATTCATAATAATATGATGACGATGACCACTATATACCATAGGTATATAATGCGCGTATTGTGCGAGCTGCTGCAGAGGCGTTCTGTTTTTTCCCTTTTTTAATTTTTTTTATTTTTAATAATAAGGTACAAACAAACGACGCGGTAATTAATCAAACCGTCGTGCGATAGTCGTAATAATGAAACCTCGGTCACATCACGGTGATAGTTAAACGTGACAG